TCTTATCAGATGGATGATTAAAGTAAATTGGATTTTTCTGATAAATCTTTATAAAGGTAATTATATCAGATACATGTGTGAAAAAATTGTTTAGATGAAAAGAGATGGCATTTGATTAAATCATACAAATGGACAGAATTGTCATTTTCAAAATTAATTGATGTTCTATCATCAGAAAATGTTAGAAAGGAAATTTTAGATTTAGAGATGCAACATTTTGATAGCAATAAACTAGGCGTTGATGGTGCAACTGAAAAACTTACAAAAATTTTACAAACTATTGCAGAAAACACATGTAAAGGCATATCTAAACCAACTAAAAATTAAAAAAAAAAAAAATAAACAAGTATGGACAGATAATATAGTATAAGAAACAAAAAGACAAATAAACTATATAGGAAATAAAATCAAGAATAACTTAAATGACAAAAGTTTAAAACCTAAATATTTTGAATTATGTAAAAAACTAAAAAACAATATGATTAAACAGAAAAAATTTTGAATATCACCAAAAACTTTATAAATCACTTTCAGATAATTTAAAAAATAATCCAAAAGAATACTGAAATGTTCTTAAGGCAATAAAAAAGAAACCAAATTTTGAAGAAGATATTCCTGAAATCTTAATGAATGAAAATAAAATCATAAAACATTTTCAGGATCAGGGTACACCAGCATCATATGAAAATACCTTTGTAAATAAACTGGAACGTGAATTAAACATTATAGAGGATAATTAAATTGAATATGGAAACTGATGCACCAATTACATTTGCTGAGGTAAAACTGGTCATTTCAAACCTTAAAGTAAACAAATCAGCAGGTCCAGATAGAATTGGAATGAAATACTCGAACATTCCCAACCTGTGATAATTAGTTCTATTGTAAAAAGTTTTTAATTTGATTTTAAAGACAGGTAATTATCCAGATTCACGGAAATTATCTTTCATTATCCCTTTACATAAAAAAGGTGACAAGTTAAACCCTAATAATTATAGAGGAATTTCTCTTATAAGTAATCTACCAAAAATTTGTAATGCCATATTGAATAATAGGCTAATCAAGATTGTTGACAAACAATTAAGTGATTGTCAGTTTGGTTTCAGAGAAAATCACAGAACAGCTGATAGCATCTTTTTATTGAAGTCCTTGATTAATATATATGTACACAAAGAGAAAGAAAAGATTTATGCCTGCTTTATAGATCTGAAAAAGGCTTTTGATTCAGTATTGAGAACTGCTTTACTTTATAAATTATGTAAAATGGGAGTTGGCAGGTCTTTTTACAGAGTTATAAAACAACAATACTTAAATACTAAATCATCTTTGAAATACAAAGATTATGTATCAGAATTTTTTAATATTGCTAGAGGGGTTAAACAAGGAGACTCCCTGAGCCCCACTTTATTTAATGTCTTCATAAATGATATTGTAAAAAATTTTGAGGGAAATAATTCAAGTCCCCTTAAGCTTATAAATAGTAAGGTTGGATGCCTCCTTTTTGCGGATGATCTTTTGATCCTGTCAGAATCGAAAGAGGGTCTTCAAATCAGTTAAAATAATGTTAAATTATATTGCAACAAATGGCAACTCTCTTTAAATACAAAAAAAACAAAATCCATGATTTTCAGTCAGTCCAAACAAAATGGTGAAACATCACATATTTACTATGAGAATGAAGCCATAGAGAGCGTATCAGAATATTTATTTTTGGGAATGTTGATAAAATGTAATGGAAATTTATCACAAAGTACTAAAAAAGCTGACAAAAAAGGCAAAAACAGTATTTTTTTGTAATAAAATCCTATACTAAATCATTGAATAATCTACCTATAAAAGTAGCAAATAATCTTTTTGATTCGTTAGTAAAACCAATTATGACCTATAATTAAGACGTAACATATTTGGATACATATATTTCTTTTTCATAGAGCCAAAAACAGAGCCTTATCTTCAGGAAAACAAATTAATCAACTTGATTTTACAGACAAAACCCCTATTGAAAATATGCATCTTAAATTTTGTAAATCTACTCTAGGAATAAGAAAATATGCATCCAATTTATGAGCAAGAATTGAATTAGGAAGATTGCCTATAGAATGTTTTATTAAAACACACAAACCCTTTTATATTTAGCTAGACTATGTAATAATAATATTAATCCATTAATAAAGGAAGCTTTTTCTCTAGCACAGTCTCTAGATTTGACTGGAACTTATTCGTGATATACATATGCAAAAAATATTGTTGAAGAGACTAATATTGACCTTAATATTCTTTCTATTTGTAAGGACATAAAAGATGTGAATAAAATAAAAAACGATATAAAGTTAAAAATGAAAAATAGATATGAAGATTTAATTGAAACTTAAATTGAAAACATTGATGATAAAAGTTAATTTTATCTATATAAAAAACTTTAAAAAGATTGCAAACTAGAAACTAATCTAATTATATCTAATTTTAAGATGAGGAGATTGATCACTAAATTTAAACCAAGTGATCACTCCCTCTTAATTGAAAAGGGGAGATATTTTAAAATCCCAAGAGAGGAACGACTTTGTCATAAATGTAAAATACTAGAGGATGAGAAACATTTTTTACTCTATTGTGATTATAATAAAACACTATGAAATGCCTTTTTGGAACACATATGTACTGAAAATAGTAACTTTAATAATTTAAATGAAGAAGAAAAAAATCCTTATTTACTAAATCCATCAACGCCTTTACAAACAAATAAGTTAGGATCCTTCTTGAAAAAGTCATTAGAACTGAGGGCAGGGGACTCTTAACAGAGTATGTATCAGAATATTTTAATATTGCTAGAGGGGTTAAACAAGGAGACACCAAAAGATGAAGAACTGGAACTTCCATCACTGTATTGGATACCTAAACTACATAAGTGTCCTTACAAACAACGGTATATTGCTGGGTCTTCCAAGTGCTCCACGAAACCTCTTTCTAAATTATTAACATCTATTTTATCAGCAATCAAAGCCGGGCTCCAAAGTTATTGAGAAACTGCCTATTCTAGAGGTGGCGTGAATCAGATGTGGATACTAAAAAATTCCAAAGATCTTTTAGAGTACATACAATCTAAGACTCTCTCATCTTGCAATTTTATTAAAACATTTGACTTTTCTACACTTTACACAAGTATTCCCCATTCCAAACTAAAAGACAAATTGAAAGAGTTGGTATTACTTTGCTTCATTAAAAAGAATGGCGAACGTAGATACAATTATCTTGTCTTGGGGAGGGATAAATCCTACTTTGTAAAGAATCACTCTGATTCAAACAAAAAATTCTCTGAAACTGACATTATCAAGATGCTTGATATCTTGATTGACAACATAATTGTTACGTTTGGAGGACGTGTTTTTCAACAGACTGTCGGAATTCCAATGGAAATCAATTGTGCCCTTTTTCTTGCCGACTTGTTTCTTTATTATTATGAGGCTGACTTCTTACAGGAACTTCTTAGGAAGAAAGATAAGAAGTTAGCAATATATTTTAACTTTACGTTCCGCTATATAGATGATGTTCTCTCACTGAATAATACAAAATTTTGTGACTATGTTGAACGAATCTATCTCATCGAACTAGAGATAAAGGATACTACAGATACAGTTAAGTCTGCCTCATATATTGACTTACATCTAGAAATTGACAATGAGGGTCGTTTGAAAACAAAACTTTACGACTAAAGAGATGATTTCAGCTTCCCAATTGTGAACTTTCTATTTCTATGTAGCAACATTCCAGCAGCGCCTGCATACGGAGTATATATCTCCCAATTGCTACGATATTCCCGGGCTTGTATTTCCTATCATGATTTTCTTGATAGAGGATTGCTGCTCACAAGGAAGCTATTAAACCAAAAGTTCCAAATGGTGAAGTTGAAATCATCCCTTCGTAAATTTTACGGACGCCATCATGAGTTGGTTGACCGTTATGGAATAAAAGTTTCACAGATGATATCGGATATGTTCCTGATATCGTAACTACAATACCCTTCCCTTTTCACGAATGTGACCTACCGAATTAGACTATTTACCGGATTTGTAATAACATAAGCAACACGACGGATGCCACATGTGGAGCAGGATCTGCTTACCCTTCAGGAGCACCTGAGATCACCCCCAGTTTTTGGTGGGGTTCGTGTTGCTTAGTCTTTAGTTTTCTATGTTGTGTCATATGTACTATTATTTGTCTGTTTGTCTTTTTATTTTTGGCCATGGCTTTGTCAGTTTGTTTTCGATCTATGAGTTTGACTGTCCCTCTGGTATCTTTCGTCCCTCTTTTTTAACAGCTTGTTTGTTTTTATAAATTTTGATGCTGTTTTTTATTGTGTATGTTTGATATGTATGCATATATGTTTATTGTGTTAATATATATTGGTCACAAACTGTAAAATATTTGATTTGATTTGATTTGATTTGGTAATCAAAGTACGTCCCATATTAGGTAGTCCAACACAACTAAAACACTACAGCCTCCTTTTGAGATCGTGTCACTAATATCATGAAATAAGCCAAGGGCTTACCAAAATATATTACGAGTTACAACATGTCATTTAAATACCTAGATGTCTTTTCTAGCCAGGACTTGGTACTTTTATTTATTTTGACCTAAATCAATGGTTTTATATATAAGGTAATTCCTTTTGTATTGAAAATATTATTATCTAGTATTTTGCATTTATTCTAAATGTCAAACTACATTGAAGATCGACAATTTGGACTTGTCGCATTAAGACCTAAATCATCTCTCCGATTTTTCTTTACTTTTAGTGTTTTTTTTCAAGTATATTTTTCAAAAGCAAGCTATTATAGACAGTTTCTACCAACTGCTTGTGCCCATAAAGCAGTATATATTTTTCGATACATCATCAAGGACTCTATGATGCATTTTTATCGTAAATGTCTAGAGATCAGTCAATGGCAAAATTTTTTTATTCATTTATTAAATCATTAATGAAACAATTTCACCTGATTTTACCCTACAATAGGAACATATTGTACTATTAAACTTATTAGTGCGGTAGAGCTCAACATTTTTATAACTTTTAGTTAATAACACCATGCCACAGGGAATCTGAAGATATTTCTATGCTGTAATCCTAGACAAGTTAAAAAAATATTTCAAATGTGACCTAAATTTATTTCAGAATTCAAATGAAAAAAAAACCAATGGAGTCCTAACGATTTCCAACTGTTTATGTTTTTCTCATTCTTAAACTTTTCAACTGTAATACAAATTTCGCTTTTTGTGGTTTGATTGTTTTGAATGGGATATAGTTTTCTACGAAAAAGCAACGTTTAGTGACAATTGTCGCTTTCCTATTGGTATACAAATTATGATTGAATAGATTGTATTTTAAAATATCTATCTGCTCAATCAATTCAGTATCATTTTCTAGAATCAAAAGTATGATGGTTTATTGTGCATAGTAACAGCAAAATAATAATATGTCGTGTTCCTACCTTTAACAACTGTGCTGACTGCATGACTCGGAGAACTTCTAATCGAGTGGCAAATACAAGTGTAGACTTTGACTTGAATTTTTGCGGATGGTAACACCTTTGTAATGAAGCATGAATTCTTGTCCACTGGTACAACAATGCTTTCCGGAGATATCCAATGCTCTTCCGTATACTCAACTACGTACTCTTTGGTTTTGAAAAAAGTGCTTAATGGTTCTTTCCATGAAACCAATACACCATTATGGACACGTGATGCTTTTACTAGCTGTGGAGGTGATGGGTCTAAAACAGTGAATCTCAAAAATCAAACTTCCTTCTTTATTTTCATAAATGAAATCGTTATACAAATACGAAATAGATGGAAAGAAACATATATATATAATTCAAAAAAAATAAAGTACACAACAATTGAATTTGCAAACAAGCAGAAATGACTTGCATATTCTTTTCAACTGCCCATGTGGTCTAATTATATCTTTTATATTACAATCTTTCTACTAGGACCATCAAAATTCTACTTTGATCCAAGAACCATAGAACATTTTGGTAGGGGTGATGTGTATATTTGGCTAAACAATAATTGAGAGTTAATTTGGACGTATTGTTGCGTTTTGTTGTATTTCAAGAAACATTAGATCTTTGAATTTCCGTTTTCAATACGCCAAAATTACAATTTAAAGTTGTTGTATGTTGACTTGTTACCTTATTTCTTAACATATTAAAAAGATAAGTATCTTCCTTTTGATTTAAATGGGGAAAAAAATTTCACTTAGACAGTCACAAATCATAACGCAAAATAAACCATGACCAAATGCAAAAATACAGAAAAAACGTTAACAAGCATAACATCGATTTGTTCTATTCACTAGCGCTACGAAGAGTATTCAGTCTTTCAAATCTTTATTTTATTTGAAATAAGCAACAAATTAATAATATGCTATCATAAACAAATGCATGAATTTGTGATTATAAAGCGCCCAAATTTACGACAAACAAAGTGAGACAGTTACTCACAAGCTACGATTTAGACTAACATTGAAACATGATATTTTGGTTTCAAATATTTATAAATGCAGAATTTGAAATAACATTCCGCCATTATAAGTCAGTTCGATTCAATTTTTTTCAAATAAGCTCAAACCCATACTTGATAGCATATTAACTTGCAAGTCCATAATTCAACCAAATGTGACGTTCAGTTGACCTAGGCTGGAGAAGGATAGCGCATACGCCAATCAGGCGCAGTTATCAAAAAAATAAAAAAATCTAAACGCCGAAATGTGAAACAAGAAAACCATTATTAAGAACCATTTTGTTGACTCATACGGGCAACAAAAATGTGCTAATACATAAATATAGATATATAAAAGAGGGGCGAAAGATACCAAAGGGACAGTCAAAATTATAGATCGACAATAAACTGACTTAATATAATTTACATGTATTTTCTTTTTATTTGGAAAATGAAATCACACTGACCTAGACAAGTCCTCTTACTACAATTGCAAGTGTTTGTCCGTGCATGTATAGTTATATAATTTATGTTTTTATATCTGGTATAGCAAGTGGCATTCTTAGGAGGTCATCTAGATGGTTATTTAGAAATATCATAGTCTTAACTACCAAAGAAAGGCGGATACTTTATAATGAGTACATGCATTATCAATTGTTTCTTTTGAAGTTTTTGTAATGTTGATATACTTTTTTATAAGTTTTAAATCAAATATGAGAATTTGAGTCAAATTGGTGAACATATATTTGACAGCTAGATTCCCTCTGAAATAATACATATCATTTTTGTTATGTAGATGTCTATCATTGACATTAACTGGTTTTAACGTGCTTTACACTCTTGAGAATAAAATGCACGTCATTATAGTAATTATTACAAAAGAGAAGTGTTCCTAAATGTAAGCCAGTGTAAGCAGACACTTTTGATTTATAATATTAAAAAAATATATTACAAAACAAACAATGTACACCAGTGTCCTTATTAAATTCTGTTATCGGATAAACAATAAATGCTATTAGATAGTTCGTAATTTTGAGTGATTTAAAAATTATAAAAGAAATAAATTGAAGTTTGAGTTTCTCTCTTTTTGAAAAAGTGATCGGTTAATCAACTTAAACCACGTGTGTATATAGTTATCGAATGTACCAGGCTAATAATACACCACACGTGCGTTTCGTCTGCATGAAAAAGTAAAAACGTGAACACCCAAATTTCAACAAATATTGCCAAGGTCATCTACAATTTATAAAAATGACAATATAATTGATATTCATGTGAACATCGAAATGCTGACGATTACTCGGCTGGTGATACCCTCGGTGACAATGTCCACCAACAGTGGCATCGACATAGTGGTGTTAATAGTTATCACAGGTACTATTTGATTCGACAGATGCGCGTTTCGTCTGCATAAGACTCTAAAGTGACGCTCAGATCAAATCAGTTCAAAAGCCAAATATGTATAAAGTTATAGAGCCTTGAGGATCCAAAATTCCAAAAAGTTGTGCCCAATACGGGTAAGTTAATATCTGCCTGGATTAACAAATTCTTATTATTGTGAATTGTTCATACTTTTGCAAACAGTTAATTTATAACAATGACCATATAATTGTTATTCATGTGCTGACTACTGGGCTGGTGATGCTCTTTGGCACAAGACGTCCACCAGCAGTGGAATTAATTATATATGCGATTATAATTTATTAAATACGAGCAAGTCAATGCAAAAAGTTACAAATCGGAAAAAGTATTATTGGTAGCAGATTTGTCATCTAAAAAACACCATTACTTTTTTCATACGATAAGGTTGTAAACTATACAAATCGTTTAGTGCCTGCAATCCTCTCTAGATAAGACTTTTTTTAGTCCTTAAAATGTGTGTGTTTTGAACATCGCTTTGAAAGATAGGACAGTTGAAAAAACATTAGTGAATATTCCAACAATAAATAAAAATGACGAAAAACTATGATCATACCAATTAAAATGAAAAGAAATAACATTGTTACATTCAAATTGTACTTTCAAAGTTATTTCTTAAGATTTTGCAACTTACCGTTCAGTTTTTTTAGCCAAAAATGCTTGAATTTTATTGTGTGAGATCCAATCATCTCCTTCTGAAATGCATTCTTCAAGGTATCATGTAACACCTTCTCATCATTAAATTCTTCAGATATAAACATAATTGTAACTACTATGCTGCCTTCACTGAAAAATATAATTTTTTGATGTAAGATTAGAAAAACAACGAACTAGAATGATTACACTTTAAACAGGAGATTAGCTATCCATACAACAGTATTAAGAGTGGGATAGCCATATGTTCAATGATCTCCAACATACATTGCAGGCCATAAGTAGTATACTGCTGTTCTAAAACCCTTTTACAATATGAATAAAGTTACTCAATTTCTAATGTTTTGAATACTGGGCGGTCTCGTACTCCCTTTTAGCACAACATATTCATGGCAAATAATTTGATATAATCACTTGATTTTTAGAGTGAGCACACGTCCATGTGCGGAAAATGTATACTGTTGGCCCAATATCAGTTAAACTCATAAAGTGTGTGTTAGAATATATGTGTTTAGAAAAGTTGAATATGAACAGTGTATTTTTAATGCAACATTATTTCAAACATGTATTCCCGATATTATAATGGTTCGAACTTTTTGTACAACTGCTGACTTTAGATGGTGTCTTGATATTCCTTAACTTAAGAGTTTCGGGAAAGCGAGTGGATGTACATGTACACATGATCGTCAATAAATACGTAATACCAGTATTGGAAAAACTAATCAGCTGAAAGATTCTTTAAAGTCTGGAATTGGCAGAAGTGGAACAGCACGATTCATTTATGGCTTACTAACAACTTGGCATGTACGGCACGATCTGCAGTATTGTGTAACATTATCCTTAAGTCTTGGCAAGAAAATATGTTGCAAGATTGGTAGCCAAGTCTTTCTTATTTCTTAATGTCCGGTCATAAACAAGATGTATACGTTTGTCACCACCACTTCGTATACCAATCTCTATATTTCCTCTTGAAAGCATTTGGAGTCCTCCATTTCTTCATTAAAATATTGTCTTGATGGTGTAACGTTCAGTCGCTTTATCCACTTCGTCTTATGGTTAAACCCTCTTGCAAATAGTTTTACGTTCTTTTTTTTTTCGTCTGTACCACACACTTTCTTCTTCATAACGAATGGCTATGCATGTCTGAACATGACATAATAACTAGGTGGTTTTATGATGGCATTTTTTGAGCTACATGAACCTTCAATTGATGAATGGCTGTTCAGCATCCAGTGATCAGGACTATCACATGTTACTTTAATATGAATATGAACACTGCTGTGCACTACACTAATACGCTAAGACGGATCTCAAACATTCTAGGTCACAACTTTCACAAGGTAACAGTGCACAAGAACTTTATCAAATATTGCCATTTATTGCCATTTGTATGTTCGAATGATTGAATTGTGTATATACTAGTAATATGTATTGTAATATATATTGTATTTTAATGTATGAATGTATGAATGTTAACTGTATGCATGTATTTTGTTTGAGGGCCTCAATGAAAATTAGACTAGTTCTAAGTAAATTACCCTCTTTAAATAAAAGAATTTATTATTATTATTATTATATAAGCCATCCCGTACACACTATTCTGACTCCGAGTCTTTGTTCTATCAGCTAATTGCCGCAAACCGTAAATCTTTGGTTCGACCCGGCCAATAATCAGACCAACAACCTCTCGCACTTTAGGCGGTTATGAAAATTAAAGATGCACATACATGTATGTTCAAAACATTGAATAGAATAAAGGTCCAACTTGCCCCTCCCCTAAATATAATCTAATTATCATATTTATTTAACCATCAAACCACCTAAACAGGGTCAAACCATAATTAAATATATAATTTTTAGAGTTAAGATGACTTTGGCACGAAACGGATGTACGGACGTGTGAAAGCGATAAAATATAATATACACTTGTAAGCATGAGTTGATAGGCTCCTGATTTTGACAGACAAAGGCAATATGTGAAGGGATAAAACTAGTTTGAAGCAGAATCAACCCTCCCCTAACAGTGGTGTAACGGTACAACATAAGAACACATTATAAAGATCAGTTGAAAAAGGTTTAATTCATCAGGTGGATATAAATAAAAACATATGTTACAAAATCACAGAGTTGACGTAGCAGGGTAGTTATACGTCCCCACATCAAAAGATACGTTCAGATAAGTTTGATATGTCAGAAATGTCATTTTATTTGAAACCTCTAATATCAATTACAACATATAGTAATAGTATGTGCAATAGCCCAACTTACACAAAATGCTAACAGTGACTGACCTTGTTTGAAAGAAATTTCATTGTATATCATAGGAGATAGATATACTTCTTTGGAATGTAATTCGAGAAATGTGTGCATGATGGAATAGGAACCAAGTTACGACAACCAGTCCAGTACACACGAATGTAGTTCTTTTATTTTAAATGCTGTAGTGTTATCATTACACAAGTTCTGTAACTGAATATAAATTTATTTGAAAGGGTAAGCTTTCTTGTTTGAATTTCTCTAAAAAGTTTGATTGATTTATATGTAATCTGGCGCCAGTACATAGAGTATATTTCAAAATTTATATCCTTTACTCCCGGAAGTAGACGAACTAAACGTGTTGTCAATCAAAACACCATTTTGCAACGGAAATGCGAAACTTCGAAACAAATACCTAACATGAAACAGAAGTCCCAAGGTGGCTATCAAAATCAATTATTGAACAGCACCCCATTTATTTAATGGATACAGTTTCCGGATCTGAGTAAAAAGTAGATGTTAGTACCTTAGAGTGAGCCACACATTGAAGTAACGGAGCTCGCTTAAGCAGGATTGGAATACAATGCATGTATCTCTGTACTTATACTTAAAAGTAAAATCACAAAAATACTGAACTCAGAGGAAAATTCAAAACGGAAAGTTCCTTCTCAAGTTGCACAATCAAACGCTCAAACACTTCAATCGAATGGACAACACCTGTCATATTCATGACTTTGTACAGGCATTTCTTAATGTAGAAAATGGAGGATCAAACCTGGTTTTATAGCTAGCTAAACCTCTCACAATCCTCTGATTTGTATGACAATAAGCAATTCAATCAAAAGATAATATTTATATTCTAACAAACCTTTCAGATTTATGAATTATTTTCTGATCGCCTGGAAATCCATTACAGGTGTTTTTAAATATTTCATCAACGTTGTTTTGCACTAGATCTTTGTCTTTCTGATCATAAGTGTCATATGTTACTTCCATTGTAAACATATCATCTGTTAATGAAATGAAAGCAGATTATATTACGCTATACAGTTACGATTACTGTTCGATTAAATCAATTAAATAAAGGTATTATACCGCTGTTCAAAAGTCATAAATCGATGGAGAGAAAAAAAATCTGGATTACAAACTAAAACAGAAAGAAACACATCAACTATAAAGAGATCAATAACGGAACAACAGAAATTTTGAAGTTCATCAAAAACAAACGCCAACATACATATACGAACTATTTGATAACAACTGCAATACTCCTGACTTGGTACAGGACATTTTAAGAAATATGGTAGGTTGAACCTGGTTTTAGGTTTAACAAAACCTTCCGCTTATATGAAAACATTACGATATAGAAATACAGCACAAACAAACGCAAGACCACTCAGCACAGAGAAACGCACAAATAAATAATATAATAGTCGTTACAATATGTAAATGCCAAAATAACAACGAACATTTTCAATAAACGACAACACATGACGTCACTAACGTCACAAACAGTGACGTCATTGTGTAACTTATGTATAATCTTGAAATTCTTATGATTATTTTCACCATTATAGTCCAAACGATTATCCCGACTATTACAGTATTGATATTACGATGCTAGATAAAATTGACGAGGAAAGAAAACAATCGGCCACCGAAAGCTTTATTACTTGTAGAGCCTATGTGGTCGAGTGGTCTAGCGCGTCGGGTATAGTGCAAGGCGATTTAGTGCCACGATACCGCAATAGCATGAGTTGAAATCCCGGCGAGGGGAGAACAAAAAAATTGCGAAAGCGAATTTACAGATCTAATATTGTAGGGCTTATGTTTAGACGAATTATATATGTATCTTCTAATACGAAACAAGATATACTAAGCATCAGGACAAAAAGTGATTAACACAGTAGATGATTTGTCTCTTTACGATTCATTCAGCGGTAATCTTATTTGATGACGGATTAATTTGTCGATCACGTTTTCCAGACTGTTCCTAAACTTGACCATACATGTGTTATTTCTCTATGTTGAAATCAATTTAACATTCCCATATAGTAAACACAGAATATTTATACTCTCATCATGTAGTCATAGCTAATTTTTTGAACTATAGAGACTACATTTGTATAGATTTGGGTATACATACATTGCGAAAAAGAAGTAGAAAGCTAAGTTTAATCTTACGTCGAGTCGTAAATGGCTGAAATACTTCATATAAACTTTTCACCGAATTGCTACAGGAACAGATTTTAATCCAGTAAATCACACCTTCTTTCGCTGTTTCTATTTCATGTCTAAATACATTGAACGCAACAATTTTTTTATCAGCAATAGTATGCCAGTTGTCAATTGACCACTGTATCTCGTATCCTTCTATCTTTATCAAAGTATTTCGTGGTGAATTCCACGTCAGAACAATTTTACTGTTTTCCCCATTTGGAATTCCAACTTTTGGTTGTATGGGCACTGCCAAAAAGGAAACATTATATGTTAAATATCAATTTATTTTTAGTATCATTAAATATGTAAATTGTTTACAAAGTATTCGTTTTGTGCAAAATATAAGTTGAAGTATTTGTATCATTTGCAGTAATTCATTTCAATTGGTCTAGGAAAACATTTTAGTATTTGTCTTTTATTTTTGGGTCAATTGTTTGATGGGTTGCCAACAATACATATCCCGATATGTTTGTGAACACTCTTTCGATTATTTATTAAGTCTATGTAATAGTGTGCACATGACCTGTCTTGTTTATCAGTTTGTCCAAGAAGTTCTGAAAGTATTAGAGAATAATAAAGAGTTCACGCGGCGGTCATTCATGTGCATTTCATGAAAACGTCGTGTTGTGTTCTTTTGAAACCTCAAGATGCATAGTTTCACACAAATAATTAGCTCTATAAGTCTACTTTTTTTTTACTTTTGTCGGTAACAATAAAAAGTGACAATATTTCCTTTTTTGATAACATTGTTGTACTGGCCTGATAATTGAATACAATGTATAGTTCAGGATGGATTGTTTGACATACGCGTGAAGAAATTTAAGTTCCAAATTGGTATATTTGTCGTATTCATCAATAAATGTTGTACATATTTTCCCTTTTCTTGATTATTTTCTTAGGGCATCAACATTTCATCCTTTCGGTACCGACGGTGGGAAAGTTTAACGCCATTTTGTCCTAGATTAAAGTTGGTTTTTTTACATATAAACATATGTTCTATGTATACTGTAGCAATGATTGACTTATTCTTTCAATGTTTAATTTCTTGTTTTGTGTATAGTCTTTTTGATCGAATTAGGCCACTACAATTTTTATCATATTGTATGTTGTTTTATGTTGTTATGTTATACCACTGTGTTAAGTTAAGGTAAAGTTTGGTGCCTGTTAAAACGTTTTAACTCGCATTTTTATGCACCTGTCGTAATTCAAGAGATTGTTGTTCAGTTGTTTTCGTGTGTTGATGTGGTTCATAAGTAATGTTCGTTTCTCGATTTTACATAGATAAGACCGTTGGTTTTCCTGATTGAATTTGTTTCACACTAGTCTGTTTTGTGCCCTTAATAGCTTGCTGTTCGGTGTGAGCCCGGGCTCCGTGTTGAAGACCGTACTTTTACCTATAATGGTTTACTTTTACAAATTGTGACTTGGATGGAGAGTTGTCTCATTGGCACTCATATATCACCTTCGTTTATCTATCCTAAAACAATATCTTCAATTAGGATATTACTTATTTTCAAATATAATTTTTTCATTCAACGGCGAACAACGTCATTACGACTGTCAGATTCCTGTTCGTAAAGACTATTTATATCTTACAATGCCTATCTGTTTAGCGTAATGGTAGGCGATAACAAGTTTCAAACGTACTGAATGAAATGATTTTTTTTTTCTTGTTGTTTAGTACCAGTAGACTTAGTGTATCAGTCTATTATTTTGTTATTCGGAATATTATGCTATTTAATCTGAAAATCCATCAAAACATAGTGTCCTGTATTGATAAGGACAGCTTTCGCCATTTCTAATTTTAGTTTTGAATTTTCATTATCCTTTTTTATCTTGATTATTTGAATGCATTAGTTAATATATAATGAACTAGTTATGACTGTTACCTGAATTTTTTGAGATACCCAGATTTCATTAAAAGAAAGAATCATGAGTTTTCATCCATCAATGACCGAACAGTAATAAGAATAGGTCTAACTAAATACGTATATATGTGACGTGAATTTAACATTTTCCTTTTCTACAAAATTAATGAATTTTACTAGTGACTTCTAAGAGAAACTCGCTCAGCAAAAAGCTAAAATCTAAATTGAACAATTGTTAAAAACATCACGCCATGAGATGTAGTCAGAAAGAAAGGCATGAAAACGTCAGCGAACTTTAGAAGTGTGTTTATTTATTGACATGTAGAAGCATTTGACTACAATTTAAAATAAATATATCCATGTGTGTACACAACTTTATATAACTTTGTATATATTGGCACTGATCCGTTATAAGTTGAAAACTGACGAAAGAGGTAATAACATGAAACAAGTATTTTTGCAAAAGCCCACGAAATCTGCGCATTTGCTTGAAATGTATTAGTCTGTTAATTAGCGAACTTACATTCTGTGTTGAACGTTTCTTCTTGGGTACATTTACTTTCGACTCTATTCCTTAAACAGGCTGAGACTTTAAATCTGTAAGTTTTACTTGGCTTTAGTTTATTAAATGAATAATGTCTGTCTTCTTTGACATAAATCTGCTTCCATTTTCCGTTATAGGTATGATAAATGTTGTAACCCAGTATGTCTATAGTAGGTACTTTATCAGATATTGACCATGATATCCGTAGTGAACTTCCAACCGGTGTAATTTTCAAATTAAATGGACCTGCAAAACACAGAAATCACAAACGTGTTAGACCATTCTAGAAAATCATAAAATTCTCAAAAACATTTTTTTTAAAATGGCCAATTAATTTCAGGAATTATCATGATTAAGGGCAAAGCTTTGCATGTTTTTCAATTTCTGATTCAGGAAAAAAGTGGAAGGGAGATTTAAAAGTAAAAACTATCATACTTAACCATCGTTTTACCATAATAAGTTGATTGACCTGCAGTGACCTATGAATATCAAAACTAGGTAAAACAAGATAAAAGCTAAGTTATTTTAAAGCATAAATGCAGCACTATGAAGATTTAAAATTGAAAACAATATAAGAAGCATCAGCGTCTGTACGCCATAAATAGACACGTCATGTGCAATTTTAATCATATTTGCAAACATGTTCAACCTTTGGATAGTTAAACATGGCTACGATCATAATTTGAAAGACCAACAAATCAGAGTTAAACAATTTACCCAATTGTTTTACACGTAAATGTATATTGCTTCTAATTTTAGGTCAACACTCAATAATTTTCAATTTTCAATATTAGAAGAAAAAAACTTCTTGAGATACATCATTAAATATACATTCCATTCTTGAAACAAATAAACCAAATATACTATTCTATTATGATGTGTGGGTAACTATTGGCTCATCTTCATTGATGTTCATTTTTTTTTAAATCCATATCGTTTTCTTGTCCTAAATATGTGACTCGATTTTATTTGTTTGACGTGACGTCAAACAAAACTTCATATTCTCTTCTAAGTATCATATTCCCCTCAGAACGGCAGGATAACATTGTGCGACGTTTCCCGTGCTTAATGTTTTAAAAAAGTTTTGATCGTTTTTTTAAAGATAGTATATTACCTTGTATACAAATCCTTGGTTCTAACAACAAACATAAATGAATAAATAATTAACTTTAATCGGTACTGATTATCATTGTGTATGTTGTGTTTAGTTATGAACAAACTAACGGATCAGAAAAAATAGATGTAAATTAATATCTAATGTTCGGAAGTAAAACAAAAGTATAGACAGTTGAATCAAATATGACACCAAAAGATCAATGAAGGATAAAAAACTTAAATCAAAAAGTTTGGGGGTGGGGGAAGGTAAAAATTGCTGCATGTTTTGTATATCAAAAATCGATTTTACATATATCCATATTGGTCAATAAAATTTTCCCTCATTAAGTTAAGAGGGGGGTGGGTTGGAAAGGGGAGGGGGTGTGGGGTTGAGCGAAAAAACTATTTGAATTAAGTATTTTATCCTACATTGAACTTTTGATGCCGTCCTTTAGGGAGATTTGAAGATTTGCTCACCCTCGAAAAGTCATTTTTCCCTCGGGCGATGCCTTCGTGAAATATGATTTTTTTTGGGCGAATAAATCTTCATATCTCCCTCAGGCACGGGATATTAATGTATAATGTCCCTTTTTGATTTGGTACAATTGTTAATGAGACAACCAATCACAAGATATCAAATAACGCAAGGAACTATACATATATAGCGCCGTATCTAAAAGATAGGATAAGGCTTAAACCAAAGTCCAAGTCGTATGAAAACGAATGATAATACAAAAAAATGGAATTTGTATACTACTACTTGTCTTTGGTAAACTGAATCGTAATAGCAATCATACAACACTTTATTGTATTCACATTTTGAATAAAGAATGTCTGTATTAAAATAAAGAGAATGTTGGTCAAGAACATTTTCATTTTTGAACGACTCGGTTTTCTGCATTTATCAAATATTCAACAATTTATATGGTTAATTATTAACGAAAATTGTATTATCTAAAAAATGTGCATGCCATTAATTTCGATATATCACATTAATGTAATAACACAAGCAACACGACGGGTGCCACATGTGGAGCAGGATCTGCTTACCCTTCCGGAGCACCTGAGATCACCCCCAGTTTTTGGTGGGGTTCGTATTGCTTAGTCTTTGGTTTTCTATGTTGTGTCATCTGTACTATTATTTGTCTGTTTGTCTATTTGTTTTTGGCCATGGCGTTGTCAGTTTTTTTTCGATCTATGAGTTTGACTGTCCCTCTGGTATCTTTCGTCCCTCTTTTACAGATACACAACTTATTAATTCACGTGTACCCGTGCTTTTGGAGGTCATGATCTCGTGATGTCACTTTCCAACATCAATGTCATGTATATAAATCTGAAAATGTATTGTTGTGTTACTGATTACACTCTCACATAAAAAAATTAATTATGCACTTTAAGACATTTGTTTTTGGACATGGCGTTGTCAGTTTGTTTTCGATCTATGAGTTTGACTGTCCCTCTGGTATCTTTCGTCTCTTTTTTTTAATAGACCAAGGTGATGAAATAAAATAAATAATAGAGTTTTACACGAGTTTTGTATTTAAAGGACACTTTGTTTCTGTTTTAGGGTATTTGATACAATGTGTTCCTCGCTATAAATAATTACTATTCATGTGAAAGTAATCTCATTATAAACGGTATGCCATAAATTGCACTAAATGTGTTTTGATAATGTATTTCATATTCTCTGTTGCATACTATGCAGCTACAACACATCTAAATTTTGGCAATTTAAAGGCGAAAAATCAACAAAGTTCGCTGCATGTTTAGACAACTAATATACTAACATCAGGTATGGTTTGTGTTAACCTTATCCATAGTTATCAACGTTTCACAATGCTATCTTACATTTGAAAACGGTATTACTTGACACATCTGTGTGATTTTTTATATTATTATAATTATTCCATGATCTAAAGAAGTACTTCCCTAGCTCAACCGCTTACGGCTGACTAAGTATCTCAAACATTTACTGAGGGCAGCAATCCCGTCACATTAGTATAGTTTGCAAGCTAAAGTATTTGAAATATGAATGAAATAAAACAACGATTATTATTCACAATTCAAACATTTAATTTCACTGCTCTTTAATGCACATAATGAATTGTATGTCAACATCGAGCAGATGATGTAAAACGCCTTAATATACATGCAAATATTTGAAATATGAGTACTTACATATATCGACAGAACACATATTTGGTATTTTGTTTGTGATGATCAAAAGTGATGCAAAAATAGCTGAAAATAGTTACAATAGAAAAATAAATAATAAGAGTATAATGTACAATTGTACATTTAACATCGAGACAGTAGCCTAACAATGCAACATGCATAATGACATACAAAAAGAGACAGCTTGAGAAAAAAGAATGCTCAACAGAAGACTACAGTCGATGTCATATATTTCTGCTGTAGAGGGCCATTAGCAGAGATAATACAAATGCTAACAAATATAACAGAAACAAATTCAATATGTTGAATAGAAACCTGCTTCAATTTTTCGTTAACCTTGAGTGATTTCTTTAAAATGAAACATGTTCTCTACAACAGAAGAAATAAATGCTGCTCCTATCATGCTATTGGACTGTGCGTTCATGATGGTATTACCATCCGAGTACATCAGTTGTGCATTCGAGACAAGATACTACGGATAGTGTTTTCTTGAAAACTTGCTACAGAAAAAGATAGAGTCTATAGGACCATAAGTTTGAGAATGTACTAGATTTCGTCTGATCAGATGTTCATTTGAAGCATAACTATAAAAGAGTCTTCAAATGGAATATAAATGTCCATGTTTCATGCAATTTTCAAGAGCGTCCATTTCCTATCATGATTTTCTGGACAGAGGCCTAGGATTGCTACCAACGGGAAAGCTTAAACAACTAGTTTTCCTCGACTGTGACATCCCCGAATACTTTGTGATGATCACCGAATATTTTCTAACATGAGCAATACGAAGTGTGCAAAGAGTAAACTAGCAACAATTCCATGAAAAATTAAAAACAGACATTCTTGTATCAAACGGCAAAATCTAAAGCTCAAACACATCAAATTTAACTCATGAAAAGCAACTGTCATATTCCTGACTTGGTACAGTCATACCCTTATGTAGACAATAGTATATAATAAACGCATCCCCTTTACTTTGTTTATCCTCATCTGCCTAACTGAAGCCACATTAACTAGCTAGGTAATATCAAGGACATTTTTAAAAAACAATAAAGGATATGAGCTTCTTCTTGAAGTCAAAACATGGCGCTGTGCAGCGTTTTTTAATTTCTATATGCCTCAAACTTCTTAGAGTTTAGGCTTATACTCAAATTGTATGTTGCCCTCCGTTTTCTGTGCGTTTTTATGAGAAATCAATTTAACATATTTCCAACTGCATTCAAACCAGTAAATATACGCTGAGTCGCTACGAGATTGAACATTGCAATCACATCTTAGATTTACTAGGTGAACCAAACATCAATCAATATTACGTGCTTCCCAAAAAGATGTTAAGCTAAATATCAGCTGTAATTACAATGTGTAACCTATAGGTGAATTTCTTTTTGATATTTAGAGTTGGTACATGCTACAATTCAGTGTACACATATCCAATCCTGGCAGCGTCATTGGTGTATTGGACAATTGACCTTCTTGTGACTTTATATTTACTTTTAATAAAAACAATTTCAATATTTTCTTAACGACATTTTATCTATGTCGGAAAATTTCTATTAACAAATCTTTTCTGTGTGTATGCAACATAACGTGCACTTAAGTTCACATACCATAAACAATGCAGATACCTGCCAGACAAGTCAAACCTATGAAGTCAATGCGTCTATTTAAAAAATCTGGAAATAAATTTAAAAGAAAGTGTAATATCATTTTATTAGTGTTAAGAAGATTGTCTATAAATGTAGAAACCTGATTTCAGGGAAGGCAATGCACTGCATTGATAACGTTCAATACGAAGTAATAATTCATTAAACTAGACACTCTTTTTGTCACATTTTACCGAGATTACGTATACTGGACACCGTAAGAGATTATAAAGAGATGCACGTCTCATCTGAGCAATGAAAACCAATTTGATTGACACAAGTAAACCCGCAGTAGTTTTTCTCATTGCATCTCAGGAAATGAGTGATATTGTTACATTTACGAAGAGTCAAGAAGCGTATCTAGTAGAATGACTTATTACCTCGTATTGAACGTTTTCAAGTCAGTGAAATGTCTTTCCTGAAATCTGGTTCTTCATTTACCGACAATCTGCTCAACACTAGTAAAATGACGTTAAAATATATTATTTTAATTGTGTTCTTTACTCGACAGTGCTAATACTGATAGCAATATTTGACACTTTTTACTTTCTAATAATCCGAGATATTCCAAGCGTAAAAAAGCACGACCATGTTATATAAATATATATTGTATGTAAAATTTACAAGGCAATTGCGTTTTAGATTGCCTGAGCATAAACTGTGTAAACCTTTTGTTAATTGATCTCCCCGTTTAAAATATGAAAGGGGTAGACGTATGAGTTTAATGGGAATTTTTTAATAGAAAAACAAAAATGTATACGGAAAGAGCCTTTATGATGCTCATCTTGCTTGTTGTGATGGATGACAACTCCATAAGACAAATATTGTTCCCATAAACTTAAATAGCATCCATATTAAGGAAGACACATAAAACATTGACTAGGTGCAATGTGCTAGTTTCTTTGTCTATATAGTATAAATTGTTTCTACAATGAACTATTTTATGTTAAACACGAAAAATAAAATAATAACGTAATTCACATGCAACCATACAAATAATGTAAAATTATCTTTTGCTACATTATAGCATTTGAATTAATATGCCTTACCAATATTTTTTAGTTCTTTGCTAGACAGTTGTCGTAAATGTTGATTCCTGTTTCTTGAACTGAAATGAAAGTAGGTGCACATAAATGACGATAATTGGTTAAATGTAGTTCAACATATTGCAGATATTAGGCATTCTTTTCTTCATAGCTGTTTTCCTGCATATGCACAGTCTCTTATTATCTGAAGTGCAAACAGTGGAAAATATTTTAAATAAATGTTGACACAAACAAACAATATCAACCGCAAATGAAACTGCTCAAATGTCTATATTTGAGAGCATGCAGTTGAACAGAAAAAGTATATTGTGCAATACAAACCAAAACAGAAGACAATTGAAGCATGAATATGAGGACAATGGAAATTCCTAAATGGCAAACGGCCATCCATCTTGAAATTAATCCCCAAACTAAATATAATAAGACGAATAGTTACGTCTAAACAAATTAATCAAGGCAAAATAACAGACTGTTTAACATTGAACAAAGTAAACTTCTATTTAGCATGATATTTTTATTTTAAATGAAATAAATTTACGATTTTTAAGTTTCTCGTACAAGTTAACTATACATGTACATTAACTTATTGTAAAAGAGAATATCAACTTTTCTATGTTTACCAACACATGAGCACATTGAAGCAATTAGTGAATACCCAAATGTTACTCATTCTCTAATTAAGCATAATCTCTGTTAAATTCGTGTATTAATTGGTGGTTGTTGAAATCAGCTTCGCTACAAATACAGTATACATTTACGAGTCAACCATTTTAGATATAGCCAAACGGTATGCTTACCAAACGTAAAACTTGCCAATATCATTTTGATGTGGCGCTTGTAGAAAATGGAATACTGGTTAAAGTATATATTTGTTATATATTTGTAATGATTTGATGTCGTTTAAATGATTTTTTAAAACTTAATCATGAGACTGAATAGAGTTTATACTAATTATTCGATCCTGTTCTGATCAACAGTACTGGTTAGAAACGATTGAAGGAGAATAAATACTAAATTTGCCGTATAGTCATATGCATCAACAAAATATGTTGTTCTAAAAAAAATAAACCAGTTTACTCACTTTTCAGGGCCCATTTCAGGACATTTATGGATGTGTTTCCTGTCGTTTTCATGGAGACAGACATAGTCTAAAATCATGATGAAAGTCATTACAGAACAATTTAAATGTCTAGCAGTCAAAACTGAGTCACAATCCAAATTGCACGTATGCTCCTGTATTTTATGCAACATGTATTGTCACTTATTAATTTTTGCAGTAATATTTGAAGTTGACGCATTATGATTAAGATTTTTTTTCAAAAGTAGTCCATCATCTCATAACAATACGTAAAATTATTAAACTAATATTGCATGTAAAAGACAGTTCATATACAAATAAAACGTGTAGCACTGATGGACGCATGTTAACATGATAGTGAAAAGATTGATGGCTTAAGTGTGGATCTGGCCATGCAATAATTTCGTTTGGTGATGATATTAATAAAAACTTCGCTCAAATCATAAATACAAATATTCTTATACCCACTAAGACAAAGTTTTACTGAAAGTTCATTTCCAAAATACGGTTTAACTTTGTTTGCTCAATTTAAGAATGATGCAGATACATTTCAGTTTTATATCTTTGTGAAATGATGACATTTCAAGTAAATTTATCTTCTAAAACATTTGCAAAATGCAGGTTCCTCCGACATATCTAGACTATATTACTTGAGGGACGTTCTTTATATCCGCAATCAGTTCACAGTCAAAAATAGCGTCGGAGCTTTCGACATATTTTATGAGATACTGTATCTCAACGTAAGTATTGAATATATAATGCATATGTTATAAACCACTCGACTTGTAATTACAATTTGAAAAAGCTAGTTACAGTTCAGAGGGAAAATGCTGTTCCGGTAAATGAACTTTCCTATTTTACATGGAGTTATAGATACGTTCAACTACACGACTGAAAGGGCTAACGATTGAGGTGAAAGAAAAACACGTTTACTCATAGTTGAAACTAAGTACTGTTTATTTTTCTCTCTGTTATTTAAAGATGTCCTGATTGAAAGCAAGTCTTTGGTGGTTACTGTTTGATTTACTCACAACTTTTGCGTATAACAAATGACTTAGAACTAAATATATAACAAAGAGACATGAACATTTTTAAAGATTTGAACTGGTTTGCATTTGCAACTTTTTCATGATGTCAATTATCAATGTCTATGCATATGAATTATTTGTAAGGGAAGATTTTGTACAGTGTCTGTTTTAATTTGTATGAAATATCTTAAATCTACATATTAACCAGATATGAGCCTGTATCCAGGTAAACACTGATTTTGGTTCAAGTAACAAGAACAGTCCTCCTGTGACGGAACACAATCACATTTATTTGGTATTTCATTTACGAAACCATATCCTTTTTGAAAATTACAACGACAAGAAAGATCTTTCTTCGGCGATCCGTGGTGAAACAAAATGTTCCCTTCCTCACTGCATGTTGATTTCTGAAAAACACAGTCACTGCCAGCATTTGAGCCAAGTGGAAACGGTTGGTATCTGTCATAGTCTCTGCAAGGTTCAGAATTAGGGTAAAGACTAATGACATATTGAGAACCTGAAAATATAAGAAATCAATGACAGAAGTTTGAAAGTATCAATTAAGCACAAAATGAATGTTGTTTCTAAACAAAAATAAGTAACAATACATCATTTAAATCTATCAGATTACCGAGTACATGAAATCAAATGCAATGAAATCATGCATGTACTTTTTTAGCATGCACCAATATCTTCCAATCATTCTATAGGGATGGCATTATCTAACTTCTAATTCAGATCATCAAAGGAAGTAAGATATTTTATTTCACAAAATCTGGTTTCGGACTAGAAAACATTGTATTTAAAGATGAAAACCTGTAAGTATATGAATGCATTTTTTAATCATAAAGAAAACACATTTACCAGGGTATGATGGTAGAAGTCGTCGATGTGTTTAACAATTCACTAAGAGTCAACACAGAAATATTATTTCGTCACATTTTCCATTTGTATTCCGGAATATAATCGGTGTTGTAGATATAACTTACAGGCTTTTGTATACGCTTTTATCGTAGCGATGCGGCGAAAATTGCCAACACAAGATCAGCCGAAAGGGTATGTCTATGAAGGCTGGTCTTGTTTGCAGTATACTACTTGAAATGGTATTTCAAATGACAATATAGATTAAACATACGAGATAAGATTGTACTTTTGCATTACTGCCCAATGCTTTGTTTTAACTCATTTCACATACCATTGTTTTCAGTTGAAGAAAATTTGAATATATATTTAGATTTTTGCAGTAGTTTTAAACAACAAAGTAACTGTTACAGAATGTGATTTTTAAAACTCTGACTAACAAATGGTGGTTATATCCCGATGAAAGCGTATGATCTTAATGTACATTGGCACATTTTGAAATCGGACTAAAACCATCAAATATTTAAGGACAACTCTCATCAATGTACAGTAGATGTCCTTTTAGTCTAGTCCTCCTCTCTTTGACAACAATATGTTTTTAAGAAAGGATATACAATATACAATTTCCTACAGCTTACCGTTTCCTGATATAACCGGTTGAAATTTGCAAGATTCTTCGTATTTCCTTTTAATGGCATTATATAGGCAGGTGTACTTCTTTGTTTCTGTTCCATTGCAGACCAAAGATGATATAAATCTCCATTCTGACTGAGATGGGCAACGTATGTTCCGATACGAAAATGCAACAACGCAATACGGAATAAACTGCAAGACAAAAGTAGTAAATTTTAGTCTTCATACGTCTTTTACAGATACACAACTTATTGATTCACGTGTACCCGTGCTTTTGGGGTCATGATCTCGTGATGTCACTTTCCAACATAAATGCCTTTATTTATGTACTTTAAGACATTTGTGATTCTGAAACTGTCGCTGGAAAAGGCGCAATATC